CAGGAGTTGGAGGTTGCTGTGAGCTGTGATGCCATGGCACTCTACCCATGGGGATAGCTTGAGGCTCCGTCTCAAAAAAAAAAAAAAAAAAAAAAGAAGTGAAGCTAGGGTGGTGCCTATGGCTCATTGGGTAGGGCACTGGACCCATATACCAAGGGTGGTGGCTTTGAACCCAGCCCAGCCCAGCCTAGCCAGCTAAAACAGCAGTGGTAACTGCAACAACAGCAAAAATAAAATAGCCAGGCATCATGGCAGGTGCCTATAATCCCAGCTACTTGGGAGACTAAGGCAAGAAAATTGCTTAAGCCCAGGAGTTGGAGGTTGCTATGAGCTGTGACACACTGAGGGCAACAGAATGAGACTCTTGTCTCAAAGGAAAAAAAAAAATAAAGAAGTGAGGCTTTACTTCCTTAAGGAATGAGGAATTCCAGGCAGAGAAAAATGGTCGGAGGAGTCACAAAAGAACAGGGTCATTTTCTTAGATCACACCAGGTTAGGAGCAACTACTTTTCTGAAACATGATCAGGGTAGTGGTATCCTTTTGGCCCAGCTCTCACAGCACTCTCTATTGTTTTGGCCCATCTGCTCAGAGGAATGAGTGGAGCTGGGAGCAGTCAGAGGAATGTCTCAGCTGGGTAGTGAATCTAGCACTGTTCCAAGGAATCTCAGATGGTCTGTGACTCGTCTCTGTCCTCAGGACTGTTATCTGGGGTCCTAGAATCCTGGAACTCATGCAGGTTCTTATGTGAGGCAGCTCTCAGCTATGGGCATAGAGAGCATGTGAATCCATCTATACACTGCTCAAACATGTGCCATTTCAAATGTGTGGGGGAAGATGGAGAAGGTCTTACCATGCCCCTGCACAAATCGCAGGCTTGCTGGGGAATTGGGACTGGGACCTGGAAGGGGAAGTTTCCTGGGGGAGTTCTGGGGTCACCTGAAGGAGGACTTTCTGGAGGGGGAGGAGCCAGAGCAGAGTCTTCTGAGGGCAGGGGTGATTTTGGTAGATGAAGAGGAGCTCTTCAGGTGGGCAGGGCCAGTAGAGGCGGATGTCCAGACAGGTCACAAAACTCTCTAGGTACCCAATTACCTGCCCTCGGTGAGCTCGGCCATCGGTGGGGAGGTGCCCCAGCGCTACGTGTGGCGTTTCTGCATCGGACTGCACTCAGCACCTCGCTTCTTGGTGGCCTTCGCCTACTGGAACCACTACCTCAGCTGCGCCTCGCCATCTCCCTGCTACCGCCCACTTTGCCGCCTCAACTTCGGCCTCAACGTTGTCGAGAACCTGGCACTGCTAGTGCTCACTTATGTCTCCTCCTCCGAGGACTTCAGTGGGTGCTCAGAGGAGGGGGAGTGGGGAAGGGCTCTGGGAGGGGATGTGCCCTGCCCCTTCCCATACTTCCTTCATAGGTGTGTGGGCACACTGCCATGTGCACTCCCAATCCTCCTTTTCCTCCAGCTGTCCACGAAAATGCTTTCATTGTGTTCATTGGCTCATCCCTCAGCCACATGCTCCTCACCTGCATTCTCTGGAGGCTGACCAAGAAGCACACAGTAAGTCAGGAGGTACGGTCTATCCCTTGTGGGGCTCCAGGTGGCACAGAAGAAAATACAGGACATTCGTCCTCAGGATGTGGGTAATGGTGAGGTGGGAACTGGAGTTCTAATGGCAACCCTGGCACAAGGGTGCTGGGGTTGGGCTGGGCCTTGGCAACAGTGGAGAGAGGTTGGTCAGGATCTAGGACTGTGTTTGGGTCCTAGCATGGAAGAATAGAAGAGATGGAGGTTCCAAATGGGGGTAGAAAGCGGAAGCACTCAGGCTACAGTGGATTACGAATAGTGTCAAGGATTGTGTCTGTAATAATGCCAGTGCCCCTCTCCCCCAGTTTCTGGAGATTTAGGGCTGATGGGTGGGTCCAGGTAACTTTCCTACTCCATCTCCCTAGAGTGGGAGGGGCAGGGAAACCACTACTCCTTGGCCTTATCACTCCCCCAAATGCAGGGAAGTGAACTTGTTCATCATGCCTGCTGCCCCTGCCTGTGCTCCCTTCTATGACCACTAGTGGGAACCAAGGGAGGTTAAGGCCCAGCTCTTAGGAGCTGGGGCTAAAACAGGAGGCCACCCACATAGCCTGCAAGCTGCAGAGTGATCAGACAGCCTATCCCCTAGGATCGAAAGTCCTACAGCTGGAAACAGCGGCTCTTCATTATCAACTTCATCTCCTTCTTCTCGGCGCTGGCTGTCTACTTTCGGCACAACATGTATTGTGAGGCTGGAGGTGAGGCCAGGACAGATCCAGACATGGTCATAAGTGGATATGGGGCAATTTCCATTGTTTCCCCTGTGGTGGACTAGTGGTGTGGTGATTTATGAAGAGGCCCCTGAGAACAGGTAATGGGAGCTTCACTATGCCCTGTTCCTTGTGTCCTCACAACAGTGTACACCATCTTTGCCATCCTGGAGTACACTGTTGTCCTAACCAACATGGCGTTCCACATGACGGCCTGGTGGGACTTCGGGAACAAAGAGCTGCTTATAACCTCTCAGCCTGAGGAAAAGCGATTCTAAACCCTCTGTCCTGCTCTGAAGGAGGCAGCCCAGTGCCCAGAAGCAAGAAATAAGAAACAGCTCTGGCCTTCACCACCCTGTGTCCTCTCTGGGCTGTACTGAAGATTGGGGAGGGGGAAGAAGGAAGGGGATAGGCCAAGGCTGATGCCAGTGCTGCTGACTGCTCCTTCCCACCCCTCACATGAGCACAAGGGCTCTCAAGCATTGTTACCCTTACCTGAGCGATCTCAAGAAGCTGAGCTGACAGGAGAGCTCCACCATTTGGTGCTAAAAAGCCCTAAGGTTCATGACCACAATCCAGTTCTTGGCCTTTACATAGCCACCTTTTGCTGAGGTCAGGAACCACTGAGCAGTGGCTGCTACCTGAATACTGCAGCCCTTTCTCAATTGGGTCATTTACTTGACTGATGTATCTAATAATATCCTGTGCACATCCAGGCCTGTGGCCACAGTCCCCTGCTAAGGTTTCCCAGGTGTTCCTGTCCTGATTTTACCTCTTTAATTTGGCTTATGTCTTATGGTGCACACCCTTCCCTGTCTGAGCCTCAGTGTATCCATGTGTATGATGGGGGGTGGGTGTGCTATATGATTTCCAAAGGCTCTGCCAGTGTGTGATTCTGATGTCATCCCTTGGAGGTGGTGTTCTGTACCTAAAGGATGACCTCTTCCCAGAGAAGTACTAGCACAGCGTGTACTTCCCTTCCCTTCTGAAATTTGTAGTTTCAATGGATATTCCCTCCTTTATAAAAGTATGAGGTGGAAAGGTCAGAGGCCCAGATTTCTACCCCAAAATGGGGCTCCCTAGAATTCCTCCATCTTCCTTACTACCCCAGATCCTAAGCTTTTTTGGTTGTACATTTTAAAGGAAAATAAAAATTTTTTTTTTTTCCATTAGTGTGAGCAAGGCTTGCTGGTCTTGGGGCTCATTTCCTGGTTTGATAAGAACTGAGTGACAAAGGGGTTCTAAAATGGAGGAAATAAGTCCATGGCAGGTTATGATTCCAAGAGGCAATCCCCCAACTCCTGGAGTCTCCTAAGACTGATCAAAGCTTCCACTTTGATGAGCTATCTTTACGACTACAAGCCAGGAAGCTGGAGTAACTGCAAGTCTTCAGTTGAGGCAGAGGCGTGGGTTCCAGCCCTAACTCTTACCAGTAAAAATTTGTCCCCTTGAGAGAATAAGGGTATAGCTCTTAGATGCATGGTTGAGAGCACCTGCCTTCAGGGTGATGATTTTCAGCCTCTCCCTTTCTGAGTCCTAGATGGGGAACTCTTTCCTTAAGGTTTATGTCCTAGTCTACTACAGCTTCTGCATCTGGGTCCCAAAGCAAGCGTGGTCCTCCAAGGGAGCCCAGAGCTTTGTTAGAGAATTGGGGGTGGTGGTAGGGGACCACAATGAAGTCTATTGTCTCCTATCCCCTAGTAGAGGAAACAAAAGGCTCCCAGTCTCTAGGGAGCCCTAGCCCATGCCCACCCCCTAATGCCCAGCACACAGGGAGGAGCCGGGGCCACTGGAGACAGGAGGTTTTATTGATGCTGATGGGGGTAGGAAAGGCCCCCAGGAGCATGGGAGCTGAGTCAGTCAGCGGATGCATATGGCCTGGGCACATTGGAGCAGGTTAGAGCACATTCATCTTCTCAGGATTCTGTGGCTCCTTCCTTGAGGAAGGAAGAGAGCCTCTTGGGGGCACAATTTCATAAGCAGTGAGGGCAGAGGTTAGAGATGGCTGAGAGCCCCTAACCTGAGAGGAAGCACCACAATAGGCAGCAACAACTGTGTGGAAAGCTGGATGAACTGGTCAGTAGCAGAAAATGGGGAAAGGGGCACTGGCTTGGACTCTTGGGGCAGGGTCCAACCTTGGCTTGGGTGTACTCATGAGAGTACCTGATGTTCCCAAGCAGAGTGGGATAGAGCCCAAAGCCCCTTTCTCTGCAGGCCTCCTTAAGGAGAAAAAGGCATTCAGAGAAGAAGGCATCCTGGGAGCCCCCTGGAAAGGGGTGCCAGAATTAGTCCTTAAGGCACAGCTGGGGGCAGACAAGGCGCCAAGGCACAACTGGTGGGGGAGGGCAGGGGCAGCCTCCAAGCTGAGTGCCAGGGTCACAAGAGGACGCAGGACCGCCCACGCTTGACCGGCGTGGGGTTGAGCACAGCCCGGACAGCCTCAGCAAACACTTCCTTGACGCCATCCTGCTGCAGGGCTGAGCACTCGAGGTAGCGCACAGCGTGGATCTGCTTGGCCAGTGCCTGGCCCTGCTGTGGTGTGATGGGCGCCTGGCCCTGCTCCTTGAGGCGCCGTAGGGTGTCAGGCTGGGCTCTCAGGTCCTTCTTGGTGCCCACCAGGAGGATGGGCACATCGGGGCAGTGGTGGCACACCTCTGGATGCCACTTGTGCCGCACATTCTCGTAGGAGGGAGGACTGGCAATGGAGAAACAGATGACAAAGACGTTGGTCTGAGGGTATGAAAGTGTGCGAAGGCGGTCATACTCCTCCTGGCCCGCAGTGTCCCACAGGTTCAGGTTCACCGTGCGCCCATCAACCGCACTCTGGGCACTGTAATTGTCGAACACTGTGGGAATGTACTCCTTAGGGAAGGCGTTGGTTGTGTAGCAGATGAGCAGGCACGTCTTGCCCACAGCCCCATCACCCACCACTACACACTTGATGCTCTGCATCGTGGATGAAGCTGCTGTAGTGGAGGCAGTGCCTCCTCCCTCTTCTGGGCCCCTCTGGATGCAGTGACCTGTGGACAGATGAAAGGGACATATTTGGTTAGGGAGGCCACTACCCATTGAGAAAAAAGGATGGGGACACACAGAGGGAAACTAGCTCCTGTTCCCTTAAGCTGACACTATTCTGAAGTCCCATCAAGACAGACATTAGAGAGGCAGATACTCAGTAAGAGGCATTGAGACCAAGCAAAAGTGCTGTAAGGATACAGTATAAGATGGTAGCAAGCATCTAAGTGCTGGTGTCAGAATAACTATAAATTCAAATCCTGGTTTTCCTGTTTCCTAGCTGTGACCCTGGACAAATTGCTTAACCTTTCCATGCTTCAATTTTCTTGTCTGTAAAATGGGGGAGGAGAAAGAAGATTTACCACCTACCTTATGAGGTTACTGTGAGGATTATGTAAGATTTGTTTTTGTTGGCTCGGCGCCTATAGCTCAACCGGCTAAGGCGCCAGCCACGTACACCTAAGGTGGCGGGTTCGAATCCCCAGCCCGGACCCGCCAAACAACAATGACGGCTGCAACCAAAAAATAGCCGGGCGTTGTGGCGGGCGCCTGTGGTCCCAGCTACTTGGGAGGCAGAGGCAAGAGACTCGCTTGAGCCCAGGAGTTGGAGGTTGCTGTGAGCTGTAATGCCAGGGCACTCTACCCAGGGGGACAGCTTGAGGCTCTGTCTCAAAAAAAAAAAAAAAAAAAGATTTGTTTTTGTTGTTTTTTAAGACAAGAGTCTTACTCTGTCACCCTGGATAGAGCATCATGTCATGACAGCTCACAGCAACCTCAAACTCCTGGGGTCAAGTGATTTCTCCAGCCTCCCAAGTAGCTGGCACTATAGGGACCCACCACAACACCTAGCTATTTTTTTTTATTTTTTAGTAGAGACAGGGTCTCGGTGTTGCTTAGGCTGTTATCAAACTCCTGAGCTCAAGGGATACTCCTGCCTTGGTCTCCCAGAGTGCTAGGATTACAGGTATGAGCCACCATGCTCGGCTTTAAGACTTGTCTCAAGGCTCGGCGCCTGTGGCTCAAGTGGCTAAGGCGCCAGCCACATACACCTAAGGTGGCGGGTTCAAATCCAGCCGGGGCCCACCAAGCAACAATGATGGCTGCAACCAAAAAATAGCCAGGCATTGTGGTGGGCGCCTGTGGTCCCAGCTACTTGGTAGGAGACTCGCTTGAGCCCAGGCGTTGGAGGTTGCTGTGAGCTGCGATGTCACGGCACTCTACCCAAGGGGACAGCTTGAGGCTTTGTCTCAAAAAAAAAAAGACTTGTCTCAAAAGTCGGAGATGGAGATCGTGGGAGATCCCTGCCCCCCTGAAGCAGAAAAGGAACTTTGGTGGTATGGGGGCTGTAAAGGACCCAGGTATTGGTCCCATCTCCCTCCCAGACCACAATTTTCCCTGGGATCAGTTAGGAGGAAAATAGTTTCACTTTATGAGGTTAATCCTAGTTCACATTAAAAATATTTCCATCTTATTTACATAAAATAGGTGTGTATTCATCCTTAGGACATTCAGAAAGAGACTGTCAGAGAAGGGTCAGGGAAGGAAATAAGGGCCCTCTAGAACAATAGAGTCAACTGGAACCCTCAGACTGGAAGTCAAGAGACCTAAGTTCTGGCCCCCACTCTGTTGACTCCCTGCAACCAAGTATAAGGCTTTTATCCTCTTTTGGCCTCAGTTTTCCTACCCGGGAAATGGAGATAAATACCTGTGCAAGGGCACTAGGCCGATGAAATAAGACCTTAAAGAGCTTTGGGGGCAGATGCCATTAATTGTATCCATTGGATTTTCCGGGAAGCACTGTCATTTCAAAGCAGAACTCCTGGGCCTATAATCTTCAGTTCCATGCAGCAGGGGAGTAGGTGTGGCAGTATGATTGAGAACTCTCCCCACAGCCTAGCACTGGGCTGGCCTAGGCAGGGAGGCAAGGAGGGAACTCAGACCGCAGTCACAAGGCCCGAGAAACTGGAAGTACAGCTCTCTAGAGAGTCTGTTATCAAGTAGCAATCAGTAAATCAGCCCTTAATGGAGAGGGGAGGGAGTGGGTGGCTTCCGGGCTGGCAAGGGAACAGGGACTGACACTGGAAAAGTATTATAAGTAAGGTAGTGTCCAAAGCAGGATAGACAGAGGCAGTGCTAAGTGCACTGGATACCTGAATCTGACATCCTGAGCTCATGTGTCCTTGACCCTTGATAAAAGCCCCTCATATGGTGTAAGCCTTTATAGACTGCATGGTATTATGTCATTTCATCCTTATAACAACCTATTAATACTATTACTATTTTATAGATGAGAAAACAAACTCAGCAGTTAAAGTAACCCAACATCACACAGCTAGTTAGTACAGGATCCAGGACACAAACCCAGTTTTGTGACACCAAGTCCTATGTTTTTTCTCAATGCATTACACAGTCTCCAACTTACCCCTTATCAGCTGTGCATCCTTGATAAAATAAGTCACTTCCCTTCCTAGAGCCTCAGTTTCTTCATCTGTATGATAATAATAATAATACTTGTTCTTCCAGCCTCAAAGGGCAGCATTATACATGTTGAGCACAGGAATGAATATGCTTTATAAAGAAAAGTGCTGTGTGCACAGGAATTGACAAGAGCAGGAATCACTGCGTATGCACATGTCTTGTGGTGGTATCAGCCTAATTCTCCCTATTCAGGTCTAGATCAGACCTTATCCTTTCTCTCAAGACAACTCTTTTGGCTGAAAAAAAAATTTTTTTTTTGGAGACAGAGTCTCACTCTGTTCTTGGGTAGAGTGCTGTGGTGTCATAGCTCACAGCAAACTCTTGGGCTCAAGTGATCCTATTGCCTCAGTCCCTAGTAGCTTGGACTACAGGCTCCCGCCACAGTGCCCAGCTATTTTTAGAGATGTGGTCTCAACATGTTGCTCAGGCTGGTCTCAAATTCCTGAGCTCAAGCAATCCATCTGCCTCAGGCTCCCAGAGTGTTGGGATGACAGCTGTGAGTCACTGTGACAGGCTTGTTTTTTTTATTTTTTGAAACAGAGTCTTGGCTCGGCGCCTGTGGCTCAAGTGGCTAAAGCACCAGCCACATACACCTAAGGTGGCGGGTTTGAATCCTCAGCCCGGGCCCGCCAAACAACAATGATGGCTGCAACCAAAAAATGGCCAGGCGTTGTGGCGGGTGCCTGTAGTCCCAGCTACTTGGGA